AATAAAATATGTTCCTGCTTAGGTGCAAATACCTGCTGAATCTGCCTTTGTTAGGGACATGGGTGCTAGCTGACACACCCTGCTGGCCGTGGTGTGGCATTCCGGTATTGGCTTAGAGGGTATCCTGCAGGCAACAAAGGCAAGTCAGAGACATCTTTGCTTTTACTGAAAGTCAAGTACGTGCCTTCTCTCCCTTTGCCAGGAAGAGCTGGGCTTCCCCCCACTCAGCTTGGGGTCCTGGGTATAAGAACAGTAAGGGAAGGATCCCAGTAGATGGGTATTTCCAAGACTCAGACTTTGACTTCAGTCTCTGTGAGTTGTATGCTCTATGTGCTTCTCAGTGACAAGATACTTGGGGATCTCATGCAGCCACCCTGCTGCCTGCTGATACTAATTTAAAACAACAACAAACCAACCACTCTAATGGGAGGATTCTACTTACCTCCAAACTGTGCTGTGTCCATGCTGAGGTTTGTAATGCTAACTGCACACAGAGCAGCAAGAGGACACCAGCTCCTACGCTGCCACTGCACCACGCCTGCCAGCAGTACAGGCTGCTGGAGTGTCTCTCTGTCTCAGTGGCTGTCACTCCCGTCAGCACACACCTCGCCTGCTGGCTGGGGAAAAAGCCCGGAGAGTTTTCTTCTTGCTCAGGCTCCCACACAGATGAGTGAGAGGAGCTGTGGCTGTCCTGCCCCCACTTAACCCGAGAGAAAGCACTGCTCTCCAGTGGGATGCTGCAAAGGTACAGCAGCCTGTCCCCTGCACTGCAGCCCCAAGGGGCACCCAGAGGCAGAGACACAGACAAATGAAGGGCAGGCAGCTCAGATATTCTGAGGTACTGAAAGTGCTTTTGTTTGGTGTATCAGGGAGGAATGGCCTGAAGAGACAGCTTGTGCTGGTGCTGCTGGTGCCTGAAATGGCAGCCGCCAGGGTGCTGTCCTGCCATGCTCCACAGTAAAGCGTGATGGCCAGTGTGTAACATGAAATCCTGGCTTCATAAGTCTGCAGCCCGGGCACAAATGAGCCTCTCTGCACTGTCAGATGCTCATTTTGCTCCAGAACCAAGTCTCAGTCATGGGCAAGGGTGAGTGAGACCACTGCTTTGGGGAGAGTAGACTGAGTGCATTGCTGAGGAGGATATGGAGGATCTCCAGGCAGGGACTGGGACTGGGGCTAACCCTAAATAAAGGCTGCCACGTGCGATGACATGGGCATCATTCCCTGGCCCTTCCTTACTCCTATCAGTCATTTTATCACTTCTCACCTCATTTGTAACAGTGTGCAGGAGCCCTGCCCAAGATTACAATTTGGAAACACAACACAGCCTGCAAGTTAAATAAGCTCAATTCTATTTAACGTCATCAGGGAGTGTCACTATTCATGATTAGTCTCCAGTTACACAGAAATTATTCTTCTCACAGTTTTCCCCTGCCTGCAGTCCTTAAAAACAAAAGGCAAATTCCTTTATTCAATTTTTGCCTCTGAATAACAGCCATTTCAGCCTAATTCCTATTTCAACTTCTAACTGTTGAAGCAGTTTTGACATGAGTCACACATTAAAATAACTCCAAGGGGCTGCAAGGTGCAGCTACAGAAATATAACTGTAATGAGGTCTCCCACTCCAAGGTGGTACAGCCTAAGTACACCATGTTGTGCTATGCCTTCAGGAGGCCTCCTCTGCTCTGTATGTACTCAAATAAATGCCTGGCTGTCCTCATATCACAGGTCATTTGGAACTTCAAAGACCATGCAGGTAAGAAGGATAGCAGGAACTTCCATGAAAACTCTGCAGGGGTACCTGTGGCTCTGCTTTGATGCACTTCTGTTGCCCCTGCACTGTTGCACAGTTGCGTGTGTGCTTCTGCAGACACTCAGCGCTAACTGCGTATGGAAACACTATGGGGCTGGAACCCAAAAGCTGTTCTCTGAGAGAGCACCACCAACTGCCTGGCCAACTGCAAGTTGTACTGGATTTCCCGGTGCTCCTCAGCTGCTGATCCTCACTGCAGATAGCAGAAAACTTTCCTGCACAACCTGGTGCTAGCACTACCTTCCCTGGCTTTCTCCCAGCTTTAGGTCAGCTGCTGCTTAGGTCAGCCAGTGCTTCTGAGATGCCCAATCCAGAAGTCAGAGGGCCAAGATGATGCTGGTGGGCAGTCTGAGAACAGACTCTTTACACGCTGCTGCAGACTCCTCCAGACCCCCAGGAACACACAAAGGCAAGCCGGAAACTCCCCAACTGACTGTTCATCCAAACTAGAGCTCAGGTGCTGCTGGAGGTAGATTAAGTCCTCATTCCCACAGCAGCGAGGCAGGCTTGGTCGAGAAGAGGATGTGAAACCTCCAGCTAAAGGACTGCAGGTGGCCAACCACTGAGTGTAGCTGCAGGAAATCTCTGACCACACTCGGGCCATCCTTTCACCTTCCACAAGGAGAAGAGTGCCTCCAGCTCTAACCACACTCCATGCATATCATCTTCTGCAGAAAGGCCACCTTCCTTCCAGGGAAACAACAGCTCCCGTGGCTAGTCTTGCATGCCTGGCCAAGAGAGGTGGAAACCCTGGGCAGCTGCCAGGACCCTTTTGGTCCTGCTGTCTTGTGGAAAGGTGGGTTGAATCCCATTCCAAGAAAATGAGAAAAAGCTAACGTCAACTGTGGGAGCAGTTGCTATGTTTTGGGAGGAAGGCCTGCCACCCAGTGCGAGGGTGGAGGAGTGGGCAGAAGCAACCTTGTGAAGTTCAATACTGATGATCTTGCCGCATAACTTACTGCTGCTGAAGACGCTGTACTTGCATCCAAGTAGCAGTAGTAGTATTTTGGGGCTACTCAGTACAAGGAAGATACTGACAAACTGCAGAGAGACCAGCAGTGCCTCCCAGGGTGGTGATGAGGCTGCAGCGCCAGGTATATGAAGAGACATTGGTAGAACTGGGCTTCTCCAGCCACAAGAGACAACTGGGGAGTCTTCATAGGTGTCATCCACTGCCTGAATGGTGGTTTTGGAAAAAAACAGAGCCAAGCTCTTCTCCAAGGAAGACAAGGACAGGACATGGGCAATGGGTGCATGCTGCAGGATGGGACATTCCAGCTGGGCATGAGAAAACCCCGCCACTGAGAGTGGTGCATCTCAGAAACCATATATCTGTCCTTGGAGGTGCACAGAACTCAACAAGGCTCAGCACAATCTGATCCAGCTTTGGCCCTTGGAGCTGGGACTATAGACCTCCAGAGATGCCTTGCCAACAAAAGCTGGTGATTCTGTGTTACGATGGGAGGGCTGGAAGCTGTGTCCACCAGCAGGCTTGCCTGAAAGGAAGGTCTAAAACCCCAGAGCTGAGCAGGATCTGCCACCACTGCCCTGTGCAGGGCTGTGCACTTCAGCTGGTCCAGGAAACAATACAGCTGCATTTCAGAGCCCCTTAACATGCTTTTGGAGATCTCCTCCACTACCAATTCAAGGAGCACTCGTGTCTGCACATACACAGTTTCACTGATGCAGAGCAGTGACTGAGCAGCCAGAGGAATGAGACAAGAAAGGAAAATGACTTCAGGAGTGTATTAAAGTATTCAGCTTGTCCAGCTGAAAGAGATCCCTACAAAATGATTTTATGAGGAATGAGGCATTTTACAGGAAAAGCAGGGCCTCTCCTCTCATTTCCTCTCTCCTCTTTTCTATGAACTTCAAAGAAAAGAGGGGTCAAAACAGAGGCCAGGCAACTGGAACCGAGTTCCTGAGCCCTAAAGCCTAATTAGTCCAAGATACATTTCATTGGATATCTCTTAGAGACAGGCCTAAATTACCAGTCCTCCCCACAGTGCTGCCAACAGCTGGATAAAGCCAGGATGTGGTCTGCAGTTTGCAGGGCCCCAGCAGCACTAGGGCTCCTGGAGGGGGCTCAGCCCAAGCCCCACTGGTGGCAAGGCTCTCCCAGATCTCCAAGTTTTGTGTGGCCACAGCTAAAGCCTGCTCCCCAGGTCTGGGATTACCTCCTTGGTGCCTTATCTCAGGACTGCCTTCAAAGGGGTTGTGCAGACTGAACTCACCCAGTGCCATGTGGTTATTGTCCTTAGGTGCGTCTGCTGAGGCTACCAAAGAGCCTCCAGCCATTTGGAATTGCCCTTCCCGCAGTTTTAGGCTGACGTTAAACCCAGCTCCCTGCCCAGCTCCTGCCTGCAGGCCATGTGCCCCATGCCCCTTCATGCAACTCTTTGTTCATGCATGAACCCTATACCTTCTCTGCATCCCCCCATAGTGGATGCCTAGCAGAGGGGAAAATAATGTCCCATGGTCTGCATCTCTTTGCATGGCCCAGAGTGTGGTTTGCCTCAACAGCATTGAGAAACAAAGCTTGTACTTGCACAGGTTTAAGGATCCTCTGGGACCACATCAAGTCGCGCATCTCCCTCCCTGCAAGACGCAGGTCTTGGGTGGTTTTTTGTTTTGGGACCTATAAAAAGTATTCTCAAGAACAGAGAGATAGAAATGACACAAGCTGGTTCCCCCATGCAGCCTCTCTCAAGATGCTGGCCTCAGGGGGGTGCTTCTTATTTTCAGACTACAGTGAAAGCACTTTGGCAGAAGGACTAATTTCCGGCCTTGTGGTCTGAAAGCTGAGAAAAGCAAAACCCTACGGCAGGTCACTAGAGTAATCTGGAGAGCAGAGAAAGGACATCATTGTCTCCGTAAGCTTATGTGGCCTCCTGGTGCTGTAGCACAGCTCTGGAGCATAGGAAACCAAGCCTTGCAGCTGGCGAGGCAGCAGGCAGTTGCACATGAAGCCAGATGGCCATCTGGCAGGGAAAGTGAGGTCCTCATGGGTGTACAGCTACCCCTAAGCTGTGACTCTGCACCCCAGTGGCACCCAGGTCTTGCTCCCCTGCCACTGCATTCAGGTGACCCAGTCAGTGTAACGCATGGCTCATTCCTGGTTTGGTGTTTAAGGGAAGCCAGGGAGCAGAAGGGGAGTGCAGAAAACTGACTAATCTTCCACTGGGAGAGATATGAAAAGTATTTTATTAAATTTTCATCCAGGGAAAAAGATATTTTTCCTTAAAAAATCTGACTGAGCTCCCACTTAAAAAGTGGGTCTGGGACCTACAAGGACTTGGCTTAACACTGTTCTACTGCAGATCATCTGTGCTGCCTAACTGCAGCAAGAATATTTATGTCCTTTTGCATCCATTTCCCAGGGGAGCCAAAATATAGAATAAACACCTTTCTTTCCCTTACATAATGCTCTGCCAGAGCTGGCGTCCTGTGAGTGGTGGGTGGAACACTCTCTGGAGGTCTCCAGACCCAGCACTGCTGCCAGCACCATATCAGGCTGGCCTTAGCTGTGTCTAGCCACAAAGCCGAAGTCTGCTTCCCTTGTGCTTGCGCAGCACTTGGTGTGTCATGACCCTTTCCCTGGATGAAGCTCATGGAGAGTGCTGACTCCACACAGGGAGGTTTAGTTGGGGGGTCTACCTCCCTCTGCTGCTATCAGGGAAGGAAGGCCAGGTGGCATATATAGCACTGACATCCGTCCAGGCTGTTAACCTGTTCCTGTGCTGGTTTCACCTTCCAGGAGAATGTCATCCTGATGACTGTGATGGTTCAAGACCAGGCAGCCTGTCTGTTCAGCTCTTCCTGCTGGGACCAGAACACGGGACGGAGGGCGGGCAGGACAGCATACTACTAGCATAAATACTACTATATGCAGCTGAATTTAGTGATGAATTGAGCCAGAGCCCTGTGTGCTGCCAGAACAAAAATAGCTGCTGTTTTTGGACTTTGCTTTGTTACAGTCTGGATCAGACTGGTTTTCAAATCAACCTTCAATAGACATCAATACACCTGTCACTGAGAACAAAATACCTGGTATAATTAACTAGTACTCAGCAGTAACCCCTGCACCTCTATTAGGAGTTAAAAAAGAGGAGTGGAGAGGAAACAACAGCAAGCAAAACGTTACCCATGTGCCTCACTCCTTGTTTTTTCAACTCTGTGCTATTAGATTACTTTCTTAAGCACTCAGGGGACAGCGACAGCAAAGAACAGCTTTTGTTGGCAAAGGCAGGCATTTTCTCACACACGGCTCTATTTTCCATGCCTCATCCAACAAATTGTACACTAAGCCTAAAAAGCCAGCAAGGAACAAGTATATCCAAGAGGGCCCGAGTACAGCAGATCTCACACCCCCGTGCACTAGCAGTGTAGCACTGGTACTGGGCACTTACTGGTGCAGGTGGGAAGTGCCCCGCACCAGGAAGACACAAGCAGCAGCATCCTTGGCACTGCCCAGTGCTGCATTACACGTATAGAAAATGTCCCTGCTGTGTTCCAGCCAGTGATCAGAGAGGCTGGGGATGGCTGGGCTCGATTCTGATTATCACTAATTCAAGACTCAAGCTCCCTTTGTGTTCAGTAAGAACTTTCACAGTTACAGATCCACAAATAGTGCAGTTTATTGAAGCAACATTAATACGGATTCTGAATTGCCATTGATAAATTCACTTACTTCATTAGCACTGTAATCCAAAGCTAGCCAATGATTAATTGAGTTTGTATAGAAAAATAAACCATTGAGCTTAGTTTCACCCGGGTATTATCCAGTGTTGTAGGAGGCACAGAGGAGTGCGTCCCTGCAGAAAGCCAGCTGACTTGTCCGCAGAGCGGGGTCGTATTCTCATGCTCTGCCATGGAGGAGCTCAAATGCTCAGTTTATACTGTTGAGACTGTTTTCAAACTGCCTGTTGCTGCCATCATAGATGGTGTGGGGGATCTCACTTTGGTGTATTGTTATATGTAAGTGAATGACAGTTTTGATTACCTTCGGTCTGGCTGCTCAAAGGGCTGTGGGTCTTGTGCAAGGTGGGAATTGTGACACATTCCATTATTCACACTGCTGAGGCAGCCATTAACGCCCATCCGGCCTCCACCCCTAATCAACTCTCAGCCTAGTCACCCCCATCAGCAGCCCATCACCTCTATTAGGGTGTGCTATTAACCCCCTCGTTCCTATACCAATGGAGCCAGGAGCTCCCTTCCCAGCAAGGCCACCTAAGCCTACGCGAACTCAGGAGGGACACAGTCAGCCTTACTTGTCTTTCAGCATTAACCGGGGCTTCCAGACCTTTGGCCTCGGTCAGAGTCCAAGCAGCACGGATGGCTGCCACAGCCACCTTTTTGTGTTTAAAAGACAAGTATCTTCCATGTCCCCCCACACCTCTGCAGGGGTCTGCCTGGGCACAGCAGCGTTTTCCCAATTCTTGGTCCATAATTAATACGCTATTAACTTCCCTACTAATTAAATATTACCTTATGCAGTGCCACCTTTCACACGCGACCATGCTTTTGAAATGCAGAGCTCACAATGGGTTAAGGCTTGCAAAACAGCAAGCAAAATCCCTGTTTTGCATCGGCAAACCTGCATATGCATAGAAGCAAGCGGCCGAGGAGCTACTCCACATCCATGCCAGAGCTGACCTGCAGTCAGCCCGTGTCACCGCAGGGAGCCTCCCGAGATCCTGATGAGTGAGAGACAGTGGCTGGACTGCAGCTCCGTGGGAAACCAGTGTATTCAGGCTGTAAACCCCTCACACTTATGCAGGAGATGCAGACCGTTCTGTGAGACAGCGCTGCGCTTGCACAGGAACCACGCAGGGTAACTCGGCCTAGTGCTCTTCCCTGATGCCACACGTGCTCTCCCAAGCGGCCGTTCTGTTTGGAGTGTTGCCGCTGGGAGGGACAGGGAATGAACAAAACCACCAGAGCCAGCAGCCACGACTGCCGGAACAGTAGTCCCGACCTTCCTAATGCTCTTTCTTCGCGTGTTTACTCTCAGCCTTCCTGCTCAGCTCAGCTGCAACTCCACGACGCCTGCATTTAGCTCGCGCTACATCACAGCGCAGTATTAACCCCAGCATTCACACCAACTCGCCTGTGTGGCGAGGAACACCGAGGTCGGGAGGCTCCCTCGCTCCCCCCCCACCTCCACCGCCATGTGCCCCGCCATACGCGCCGCAGGGAGTACCCCCCACCTACAGGGGGCGCCCACCCGCTGCCGTAGCGCGGGGTGCCCCAGTGCGCACGCTCAAATTGGTTCCTCCCCCCGTCCATCCACCCTTGCTCTGAGTGGTGAGTCAGGAGGGAGGGGGCGTGGCGCGGCGTGTGCCGGAAGAGGCGGAGAGTGAGGGCGGAAGCCATTGTTAGTGGTGGCGGTAGTGGCCGGTGCGTCGTGACGGTGTCGGCGCAGCAAGATGTCGATCGAAATCGAGTCCTCCGAGTACGTGTAGTATTGGGGGTGTCGGGGTGCCCCCGACGTAACGGGAGCAGTAATGGGGCGCGATGCCCCCGCGGGTTGCCGTTCCCGAGGTGATCGGGGAACGTGAAAGCGGTCGCGGGGGCGCTGCTGCTATGGCCTAGCGTCCTGGCGGGAGAGAGGCCGCGGGGCTCTGGGAGGGAAGGGGAAGAGGGGCCGCAGGGCCGTCTTTATGACTTTGTGCCGTGCCTCTGCAGTGTGATCCGCCTGATCATGCAGTACCTGAAGGAGAACAGCTTGCACCGAGCCCTCGCCACCCTTCAGGAGGAAACTACCGTGTCCCTCAACACTGTGGACAGTATTGAAAGCTTCGTGGCGGACATCAACAGTGGGCACTGGGACACGGTGTTGCAAGCCATACAGTCGCTGAAGCTACCCGACAAGACCCTCATTGATCTCTATGAGCAGGTGAGTGAGTGCAGGCTGCATCTGGTCTGGTTTTCTGGTCACACTTTTCTGGTCACACTTTTCTGGTCTGGGTGTAGATCTCTCTCTGGTGTTTTCCACCTACTGATGGAGATGTTTTTCTCTTGATGTAGGTTGTGCTGGAGTTGATAGAGCTCCGGGAGCTAGGTGCTGCCAGATCTCTCCTGAGACAAACAGATCCCATGATTATGCTAAAACAAACTCAGCCAGAGCGGTACATACATCTTGAAAACCTCCTGGCCAGATCTTACTTTGATCCTCGTGAGGTAAGTTATGCTCTCCCTAGAGACTTCACACTGGTCTCTTGCATGACTCTTGACTTCAGTACCAGGTGCTTACTGCAGCTTTTATTTTTCCACTCTAGAAGTAAAAACATGCAGCCGCCCAGTTTCATGACTTTGCACGTTTTATGAAGTGTTAGGGCAATGATGTGTAACACTTGATCACAAGGCAGTGGTTTTGGAAGTATACTGCAGGTGGGAGTTCAGGGGTTTGTAACTGTGCCCTGTCATGGGATGATGTCTGTGTTGTGCTTTTCTTGTCTTTATATGTGCAGAAGAAAATATACATTTCTGTAAATAAAATTGTTATATAGTAATAAGTTATTATTTCTGACTGATTACATCAGCCAGAAATTTGTAGTGAAAATATATTGCAAGTGTTTCGAGGCTTGGTGTTAAAAGGAAGGGCTGTCTTGAAGGCCTAATAGGAAATTAATGTGGAAGGGGCTTCTGCTCAAAGCAGTGAATGTTTTTATGGAAAGCAGTTTAGAACGGTCATTTTATACAAATGATGTTTCCCTAGGCATACCCGGATGGAAGTAGCAAAGAGAAACGGAGAGCTGCTATTGCACAAGCTTTAGCTGGAGAAGTCAGTGTGGTGCCTCCCTCTCGTCTCATGGCATTGCTGGGGCAGGTAATTTGTAAATAATATTTTAGTAGCTATGTGAGTTTCTGTGGATCTTTGCTGCATAAAACTGCCCGTGAGATCACAGTTTTGTCTAGTTGGTTCTCAGACTCTATGGAAGTAAAGCTTACGTACTGCACATTTACGTGTGGTATAGGTAAAATTATATTTTCTCCATGTGACAAGGATTTAGCAGATTTAGGGAAGTCAGCACTCCAGGAATAGTTTTTTTGCCATAGAATAGGTACTGCGAGCGTAGAGAAGTGTATTTTTAAGGTGCATACTTCAGTGGTTTAAGTCAAGCTGATAACTTGGCACCCCACAGCTTCTTGCTCCCTGCCTTATTTTCCTCCAGTTCCTGGAGGGATGGGGAGGAGAATCAAAAAAAATGTAAACCCCATGGGTTAAGAACAGTCCAGTAACTAAGGTATAATATAAAACCTACTACTGCTACTAATGTTAATTATAAGGGAAGTAAGAAGAGGAGGGAATATAACCTGAAAAGGGAAGGAAAAAATGCAATAAACAGCAGTGATGCACAATACAATTGCTTACCACCTGCTGACCAGTACCAAGCCTACCCTTCCAGGTGACTCCTCCCAGTTTATATACAGTCTCAAACTGTTCAGGTGTGTAAATTGAAAGGGTACAAGAAATTGCTGTACTATATTAATTAGAAGCAAGCTTTGATGAGGAAGATATATGTTAACTGATACGTAACAGTATGGCTTTCAACTCCTCCAGGCACTGAAATGGCAGCAGCATCAGGGCCTGCTTCCTCCTGGTATGACAATTGACTTGTTTAGAGGCAAAGCAGCTGTGAAAGACGTCGAGGAAGAAAAGTTCCCAACACAGCTAAGCAGACATATTAAGGTGATGTTGTGTTTGTTTGGTTTGTGTTTGATATGTGGTGTTCCAGCTTATTCCTTTGCTGGCCTTTATGTTTGGAGATAAGAGTAAACCTTCTGAATTCTTCAGCTCTCTTTTTTTTTTAAATGATTTTCAGCTCTCTCCCTCCTCTTCCCCTTTTCTCCATGCTTTATCTCATCAGGAGGCATTTCATGAGACTCTGAAATCGGATGCTCATAATATTTGTGAATATGATAAATGTTTTAATTGTCTGACTTCACAATTAAGAATAATTCAATTTTCAGAAGTGGTTCTTTATTTTCTTTATTTGTGCAAGGCAGTACTTGTGTCTTGAACTTCTGTGGGTGGTGTATATTAGGTTTTGTGAACCATTGAAGTTTTAGACCTACGAGGTGTACTAATAGGATCAGTATCTCCTTTTTAAGGATTTAATCATATAGATAAGAGAAAGAAAACTATGCTGTAATGACATAGTAGTCCTGCAGCACTCACAATGTAGAATAAGCAGCTTCCTCATGTGACGGTTTTTCAACTTCAAGCAAGAAGTGTTAGGTAATAGTTTTACCAGTTCTCACAGTGAACGAAAGATAAGGGTTTTTTTTTTTTATTTTTTTTTTTTAGAATATGTTGGTATTGACAGGCGTTTTTGTACTTTAACCTTAAATATGTGAAAGCATACCTGTAGAAAATGGCTTATTTTTGCTACCAAAATTAGTCTGCATTTTTGCTTTAATTAGTTGCTGTTTAAAAATTGCTTATCAGGCTTAATTTATCTTCCATAAAACAGTTTGGGCAGAAGTCACATGTGGAGTGTGCTCGGTTTTCCCCAGATGGACAGTATCTTGTTACTGGCTCTGTTGATGGTTTCATTGAAGTGTGGAACTTCACTACTGGAAAGATTAGGAAGGTAAATTGTGCCTTATTTTATTCATATGGATGGCTCGTTGGACAGAGCACCTGGTTTTATTCTTTGATTTTTATACTTTATTTTAATTTCTTGGGGACAGTGAATTTGTAAAGGGTGCCTGGCTGGGTGATTCAGATGCCTTTCTGAAATCTTTACATGGATTCATTTGTCCAGTTTGTCATAAACTTCCCTCTGCAAAGGAAGAGGGGTCTGGATCATCATTGTTGCCTCTAAAATGGTGACAATAGTACCCCCTGTTGTTACAAGGTTGTGAGGTCTGCCTGCTGTTGGGTTATAAAATACAAGTGAAGTTCAAACACGTGGTAATTTTACACTTTGCATTAAAATATATTTAATTGAATTCGCTATTTTGATTGGTGGATCTTCTGCTTTTGTTTAGGATCTGAAGTACCAGGCGCAAGATAATTTTATGATGATGGATGATGCAGTGCTTTGCATGTGCTTCAGCAGAGATACAGAAATGCTAGCAACTGGAGCACAGGATGGAAAGATCAAGGTACAAATCTTTCTACAGTATTTTGGTAGGAATGGTTACCAGAAAGATGCACTTCAATTATAGTGATGTTGCAGTTCCTTCTAAAAACAAATTTAGTGTGGTTCAGAAACAGATATATATTCCCTCTAATGTTTTTAAGGTTCTATGATCTCATAACAAAGTGACCACCTCTGTTTCATTTGCTGTTTCCTCTCAGGTTTGGAAAATTCAGAGTGGTCAGTGTCTGAGAAGATTTGAACGAGCACACAGCAAAGGTGTTACATGCCTCAGCTTCTCTAAAGACAGCAGCCAAATTCTTAGTGCTTCATTTGATCAGACAATCAGGTAAATAAACTGTAAATATGTGACCTACAGTGCATAAGAAAAACTTGAATATATATTGATTTGATCTGGGATTTGATCCTTTTGCACTGAGTTTTAGTATATAGGATAGCATGACTGCTGAGGGTTGGAGCGGAGCAGTTTGAAAGTTCAACCTTTTACCTTGCTTAACTTAATTACTTCAGGAGTAGAGGCCAACTACCTCTGATCTATTGTTGCTTACACTGACTTTGCTCACTTTCTTTCTGTGAGTCTCCTAGCTTAAGTGATAGTTGTGTCAACCTTCAAAAATAACATTTTTCATGATAAGTGTAGGGGGAAAAAAATCTGAGGATAGCAGGATAATGACATTTCTTTTTCTTAAATGACCTAAACAGCCTGATCAAACTCACTGTCTTTAATACATGACTTGAAAGTGGTTGTTTCCATCCAGTTTAAAATCACAGAATGGTTTGGGTTGGAAGGGACCTTAAACATGGTCTGATTCCAACCCCACTGCTATGGTCTATAGTTCAGTTCCCCAATGTCTGGCTTTCTTTTGGGGGCAGTGAAGCAGTTCATGATGTTG